TTGAAGAAAAATAGATTATTTTTCAAGGCAACGGTACAAACTTCAAACAAATTGATTGGGTCGAACTACTATCTTCACGATATTTGGCATATATCATTGTTCAAGTCAATGGAAGTATATCTCTGAGCAAATCGTTTGGATCGCACCATTAAAGCATACGTTTGTACTGCCATCCACACTGAACGACCAAAACCAAGTACTTGGCTTTTTATTTGTGTGTTTTTTTTTCTTATTTTTGTTTGAAATTATTTCTCCCAATATGCTTACATGTTAAAAATGCACAGCTCAAATAAAAATAAATAAATATATTTCAACACATTTATATTAATAAAATATTTTATATTACATTGTATATTCTTTATGACATGCAGTTTTATTGAAAAATAAGAAATTCAATGAACTCATATGAAAACAAAATGCAATGTTTTATTTTAATAGAACTAAAAATATCCTTTAGACCAATCTTACGTAGTCCTTAAGTTTCAATAAAGCTGCAACTGGCTATATGGATGGTTCAAAGTCTCAAGTATTAATATTTTGTGAATATATAACAATATTGCAACTGAATAAATATACACCAACTACCCTATTTGAAAATAATATTTAATTTTTATATAAATACAGCATTGAATTATTAGTGAAATTTACTTTTAAATAACACGAACCAAGCAGTTACATTACCTCAGTAAATATTTTATTTTTTTAATTTAACAATCGCTTACAAACTAACAACTAATAGACAAATTATGTTTTTTTATTAAGGAGGTTTTAACAGCTTCTTTATATGGCAGTAGCAATTTTATACTAGCAAGAAACGGCTGGTCTATCCGCTTCTTACGCTCTCTTCTGCTGGGTTTTTGAGTTAAGAACGTTTTTCAAGCAGAAACTTGGCCAGTTAGAGATTGTAAGCAGTTAAGAAACAAACCTATAAAAACTAAACTAAACGGCTGATTTTGACATTTTAATACAATTTGGAGTCTAAACAAAGTAGAAATGTAACAAATATTTATATTCTCTGACCCTCTTTGAACCACGATTCAAGTTTTTTACAGGTTGTGTTACTACGGAGCAAGAAATAACTTTTTTGATTTACAATCTATTCGTATACAGTTATTACTAAAAACAAATATATTTTTTGCTTGGTTGGAATGTGTAAACAATTTTTAATCATAAAAAACAGCTGAACATGACAGTATGTGTTAAAAATGCTTAACACAACCTTATACATATAACAGAATCGTGGGTTGATATAAAGTAAAAAAAGTATACAAATTAACAAGATGTCATACCTACTGATACTTTGAACGAAATGTGAATAGTGCTTCTTACTCATTAACGCAATTTTTTTTTTTGCCTCAGGATCTAACCGCTTTAATAATAAGTCATGTAATGAATACTTATAATTCTAAATTAATAAACTATACAACTAAAATTAAATTGCATTAGAGGGACATGATGCTTGTCTAAACGCGCTGCGCATTAGCACTTGTGCTAGCGTAGTGATTTTCATTGCATTCTAAAAGCAGCTGATAACTACGCGAAAAATGCGTCTGCGCAGCAGCTATTTGTCGCGGATTTTGTTGCTGTTGAGCGCTTTCCTTCAAAGCTGGAAATAAATATTTTTACTATGAGTATGTTTTTTTTTTAATTTGCACGTATTGTTTACCGCTTTTCAGCTTTCCATTAACGCGCATAAAATTTGGTGTGAAGTAAGCTTCGCTGGATTCTTTTATGTTTGACCAGTTTTCATATTTGGTTACTGGAGAGCGTCCCAACAACGATTTGTGTGTTTTATACATATCTGCACTCTCTATGAAACGCCGCGAAGGAAGATATCTTCTATGAGCACGTGTGAAAGCAGGCGATGTTAGCACATTACTGGAAGCTGGGCGTATACCATTCGGCGTTAATGCTCTATTTTTGCAAATAGTATTGGTTTGTGCATCAACATTTGCGTTTTCGATTACGCTGTCACGACTGCGCTTACGACTGTGAGTTCGCTTTACCTTGCTGGCAGTATCTGGCATAATAAAAATCAAATAAAAATAATAAATTACAAAAAAAAAAAATTAAATTAAAAAATAAAATTAAATTTAAAAAAAGTACAAAAGAATAATTAAAAAATTTTAACAGCCACAAAAAATTAAATAAAAAATATAACAATGAAAAAAATTAAAGGAATAAGTAAAATATATAAAAATAAATTATAAAACAATTATTATACATTATACTTATTATTTATGATTGCAAATTTAGTGGTGTTCTTACCAGTATCAGGGCAGTGTGTTTCAGTATTAGCTGCAGTTTGATGTTCAGTGGTACTACCAAAGTACAGAGAGGATTTGTCTGAATCCTGTGAGCTGGTGACACTGTTGGTTGTTGATTCTGCGTCCTGTGCTTCCTCGCCTTTTTCTTTAATTGTATCAATTAAATTTACAGAACTTAATCGTCGTCGCGTGCGTTTCGCGATGCAGCTTGTATTTAATGGATCCGATTTCACTTCAATCTCGTCCACATTTTCAACATTGCTATTTTCGGTTTGCGTATGTTTAGTTTGCGGATTGGACTTTACTTCATTTAACAGTTGATAGAAGTAAGTCATTAAACTATTACCATGATTGTCACCATTTCCAATCTGCTGACCATTTTCGTTTTCATAGCATTCAGACTTAAAGAAGGTACTGCTTTGGCTCGGTTGGTATGAGTTGTGTGAGCTTAAACTGATGTATTCATAGGTATCATTATCTTCACAAATATTTTTCTCCTCTGATTTAACTTCGATTTTTTTCATGGATCGGCGACGGGTGCGATTCGCTATACAGCTTATATCTAAAGGATTTTTTATTTTCTCATTCGTTTGTTCTGTGCTACATACATGGTTCTTCGTATTATCGTTAGCTACGTCATTGCCGTCATCATATTCAAATACTTGACAGCATTCGGAGGACTTATATGAGGCTGTGGATTTATTATCCTCATCAATTTGATCCTCACACGCGGGTATATACGTCGTAACATATTTTCGTCGTGTACGTTGTGCAACGCATGAAATATTTAAAGCATAATTTTCTTCGCTGTCCTGGTTTTCTGCACTATTAATGGCTGCGTCGACAATTGTTGCATTAACATCAAGCACTAAAAAATTTTATTTATTTTTTTTTTTATACGCAAATAGAAATAATTTAAACTACCTTTGTGTTCGTCTGCGTCCTGCATAATAATGACATTTTCTTGCTCTTCAACAACATCCACTAGTCTTTCATCAGCGCTGCACAAATAAGCAAGTTGCATTTGGCATTCAATCGTAGTATCATCAGAGTAATTCAAACCGTCATCAAGTTTAATTATGTGTGTTGAATTTTCATTTTCAATATATGCTCGTTGAATTATTACATTATCAACTTCATCCTCACTAATACTGCCACACACATCTATATCTGAGTTATTATCTTCGCTTTTATCTGCATCATCACCGTCCGTTGCTACTATAAAGTGACGGTGTGTCTCCATAGCTTCCAGGCCACTATTAGCATGCAGTATGCTTTTGCAATTGTCACATTCAAATGTATGGCTGCGTTGTGGGGTGCAATGAAGATGCATTGCTACAGAACCGCATGTTACACAATAGATGAATGGATTATTTGAGTTTTGCGCTTGACCGCGTCCCTTTGTGTTATGGCAGGTTTCGGCCGCACATACACTGGGTCGCTCAAGCAGTTCGGCATACGCATTGGGAACCATCTCCCACTCTGCATCTCTATAACCAAAAAATAGAAAGTTTTATATATATTTCTTAGCTTGCATAAAGTAAAGAAACGGCCACCTACTTGTTTTGCACGAAAATACCACTCAGCGACATATTCCGCTTAAAATCTGTGCTATCATTGCAAAGCGGACATTTAAAAAAATATCCTGCATTTTTAGCAAATTGTTGTAGACAGTATTTGTGAAACCAACCATTCCGACAACATGGTGCACGTATCATATTGACCGCACTGAAGCGAGTGCTTTCATTGAAGATTTTTTCAAAGCATATACAGCATTCATCGTCTTTTTTTGGGCGATAATTAACTTTGCGTACATGTCGATGGCAGAAAGAACGAAAACTATTAACAAATTGATTCATGGCCCCATTTTCTATGCCACAAATCATGTGAAAATTTAAACGACAGCGCCTTTCACAACATCCTATGTTGGCCATAACTTCTCCGCAATAACAGCATCGCTGAAAGTAAAAATAATATATTATGGTTTAACGATTAAACATATTTTGTGACACTTACAACAGTCGATACTCGTTTTTTTTCTGCCGCAATATCTTTCGGTAGAAATCCCAAAATTCCTTCCTCATCTTTACCATTTTGTATAATGCCAGAAGATAAATACTAAAGTAATGAAATAGAAATTGATTAATGTAAAATCATTGAAGAAAAGCAAAATATTATAATCAATAACAATTAGATTTTGCATGCACATAACCGTGCTTAAACTAACCAAGCAATTGGTATGCACGCCTTTTCCTTTTTTTGTCAGAAACTCGCCATATTTAATACTGTCACGACGACTTGAACCGCACAATTCGCACTTCATACTTACATTGAACTTCAAATTTAATACATATATAAATAGTATAAAATGATATAAATTTTTATTACACTGAAAATGTTGCCCGCCGTTTTTATGTATAAATGACAAATGCCAAGCTGCCGAAGTTAGCTGTTGTTTTCATAATGCCAACTTACCGTTCCAACAAAAACAAAATGGTTACTTAAATTTACAGTGCATTTGGCATATTAACAATTCAACAATATATTTAAAATAAAATTTATAATTTATTCACATTTCCCAATATTTTAATGCAATTAAATAATTTCCTGAATATTTATTAAGTTTATTGCCAAATATGATAAACAGAAGCAACTCTGTCACGCAAGAATGTGCCACAGCTGTTCACTGCTTTGATTGTCAAAATAAAACACTTATATGTAGATAAGTTTTCATGGTTTTTTAAGTTATTTTTATTTCATGATAACTTTACGATTTTCATTAAAAAATTTAATTATTCAACTTTTTCACTTGTATTATCGAATTCTTTCTCGCCGACACGGTTAAATCCAGAGAAACGTATAATTTTTCCTTTATTAACGTTCAATTGTGTAGCGTATTGCTGAGCGGGTGTTAATTTAGCTTCCTCTTCACTCTTATAACCATAATACTTTGCCCAATCATTTCGTCCGGTATAGACCATGTAGCAGACAAATCCAAAAGCATTCCATGCGAGTAGCGCATAACCGATACTTAGACGTCTTTTCCACAATAGTGCACTATCCTCCGTTATGGGATTTGTATGCCTTCGTACCCAACGCCGCAGCCATTTCAACTCAAAGAGTGCCATTACTTAAAAGATGAATATTTTCATTTTATTAAAAAATATACACTTTTTACTTCTGTTACCTCAAATTGGAAATCGACAAATAAATTTAATGGACCCGTTCGAAATCAGCTGATGTTATCAAACACATTGATGCATAACCCAACAAACGCAAAGTGATTATTCTAAGAATATTATGTTGAAAAGTTTTTTCTTTTATGTCGATTGTACTTTAAACATTTTAAAACGTTATAGCATTATCTTCTTTCTATATAGATATATTCAGCTTTCCTGTTTATATTTTCATTTATAACTGCAACCTAATAACGGAAGGAACGGAATTCGCTCTTTCTGCTATTATTTTGGATTTTTTATTTTTTCTTTTGTGGTAAAAATATTATAGTACATACATTAACGATATCTGCTCTAATTCTGGCATAATTGCTGGGTACAGATTGAACGCCTTGAAAGCTCTACTATTTTACCAACACTAGCATATCCTTGCGTATTTTTCATTCCTTTTAAAAAACATCTGATACGGCAACATTGTTTTTAATTGACGTCGTCATACGTTTTTTGTTTATTGTGGAAATTGGAATTATTCTCCAGCAGTTCTCTTATTATACATTTATCAATTTTTGATTTTTTTTTGCAAAATTCTTAATATAACCACAAAAATAAAATACAATAAATAATTTCATATAATTTAGATACAGAAATTTAACAAGTGTTTCCAATACAATAATTTCCTCAGCTCCTAAGCTCAATTATAATAAGCATATATAACTCAATATTGGAAATTTATTAATAATAAAAGAGTGCAAAGATAAAATCTATTTAGCCAGACCACTTTCCAGTCAGAGAGCAATAAATAACTTAAGGAAAACGTATAATTATTATTTTGTTATGTGTATAACAATAAAAGTTTAAAATAAATACTTGAGTAGAAATAAAGAAAAGTTGGCGGTTAGTAACCACAAGTGTAAAGAAGCTGTAACCAATCTAAGGCCTGAGTAATTTTGCATATGAAAATGCTTCCGCGGCAGCAAACCGCACAGCAACAGCAAACACAATGTAAGAATTTGGATTTTCGCAAACGCCAAATAGATACACTTAAAGTATTCAACGACAAGTGAGTTATAAATTTATACTTCTTTATGTTTATTGATACAATTAAAATATTTAATAAAATATTTGCTTTACAGTGTTGTCGAAGTGACAGAACAAGAAGAGTATTGTATACATTTCGAAACGTGTGGACGTACATTAGTACTTGCAGTCCAACTCGGCGTGAATTTTCCCAATGAGCGACCCAAAATAGTTATATCACCAACTGTACAGCATCATTGGGTTAATGCGACGACGGGTGAAGTTGAAACGGCACCTGGTTTACTCAATGTAAGTATTCGGTGTGCTTAGAGTTTGAAGGACCCTTTTTCATATTAAGCTATAACCTCTATTTCAAATCTAAAAGTAGCGGTCAAGGATGCACTGGAAATATTTAACAGTTCCTGCTTGTTTCCATAAAACTGATTGACAGTTGTTTGACCTTCATATTAACGATTTTTCAGCAGAAATATTTTGCCTGTTTTTGTACGCATTCAAGGTTCTATGCGCGCATACTCATGCGACTATCAAGGATAAGAAGCCAATACTCATACGTATGGCAATATGTGTATATATTTGCAAGTATAATATTAATAAGCATACATGATGCTGGATTAATCATACATGTATTAGACGTTTTTTCACGTGCAGATTTCCGCTTGTTTTTGTTGTAATTACCGGCATTCGCATTTTTAGAACGTTACATGATGCCATGATGTACAGAAAAACGCTAAAGTATCTCTACATTTGCGTAAAGAGTTACACAGTTTATTGCGGTATTATATATTGGACCGGGTTTCCAGGCTTAATACACATCAACAAAACATAATATAATATATATACATTACTTTTCTTTATTTCCAGTACTCTCCACATTCTGATCTGGGCCGCGTTGTGCAGGCCATTATACGCGAATTCGAGCGCTTTCCCCCACCCATTGTAAATTCCGGTAGCCCCATTAACATACCAACGCGTGCGGGCAACGCCAACGCCACAGCTACGCCAACAACAATTGCCGCAAAATCATTAGATAGCAGTAACGAGAATTCGCCATTGGATTCGACAAAATCATGTAAACTCAATGAAAGCAGTTTGCCAAACCTATCTACATTATCGCTAGATGAATTGAAGCAGCTCGACAGTGATCCGCAATTTTTCGATGATTTCATTGAAGAGATGTCTGTAGTGCAGCATTTGAACGAAGAACTTGACTCGATGATCAATCAAGTGGAGATAATATCACGTGCGTACGGGATATGTTTTATTCAAATTACAATAATAATATTTTTTCAATTTCGTATTTATAGGTGAGAATGAATCTAAAGAAACACATTTGGTCGAATTAAAACGAAAACTAAGTGACGATGTTACAGCGCTTAAAAATCTCGGTGAAAAGTGTGATCAACTGAACAAAAAGTACTTAAAGAAGTCAGAGGAATACGCACCGCAACACATACGCGTAAATAATTGTTATTTTTTGTATACCCTGAATAGTGCATATTTAGCTTACCACGGAAGTATAAGTTGGTATTTTTATTTTTATAAATTTTTTATTTTATTATTTATTATTTATTATTTTTTTAAATTCATTATTTTTTTTTTATTGATTTTTATACATACTTATATTAAATATTCCGATATTACATAGCCACGCAACTCTTACTCTATGCTTACTCTATAGGAATTGCTGCAAATTGCCGCCTCGAATGCGGACAGCGAATGTGATCGACACGTAGAGCAATTTCTGAACGGTAAAATCGATGTGCAAACTTTTTTAAATAACTACACGCATTCGAAGAAAGTCAGTGCCGAGCGTAAGGCCAAGGAGGAACGCTTGGGGCATCAGCTGACGGCTTTGGAGCGCGCCGCTATGTAAGCGATGCAAATTTGTATTAAACATGTACTTGCCTGCAAGTGATTTAGCTTTTATAAGGCATATGGCAGTTATATAGCAATTATGAATTTTGCGCAAACTATTTAAAGTTATCAGCGCGAAATTGCTTTAATTTATAGCTACAATTTTTAACCAAATGATCTGCATATAAATTTGGTCCAACTGTATTTGGTGTCAAGTAATGTCATTAGTAAAACGTCAAAGTGCGTGCTGGTGTCCAACTCATGTAAACAAAAGCAAAAAAAAAAAAAAAAAAAAAAAAATTAATTTACTCTCAATCATAGTCAAGCAGTAAAACTACACCTAAACTTAAATAAGTTAGATTTTTTCTTGTGAAGAAAAATACAAATTAAGTATAATATATGAAAATCGAAAATATTTTTTGTTTTAAATTATTGATCCGCGGAAACGAATTCCATTGCTTTGACTAAGTAATGACTGAATAAATCAAATAAGTTGCGCGAAATTGTGAGTGCGTGTGCCACCCCGCGTTCTGCGCTCGTAAATAAGCGCGTTGATGCTTACATACATACATACCAATATTGTGAGTGAATTACATTTAATTTCCTAAATTTGTAAAAAAAATTAAAAAAAAAAAAAAAAAAAAAAAAAAAAAACAAAACAAAAAAAAAAAAAAAAAAAACAAGAAAACTAATATATTGTGATTTCATTAGCAAGTTAGTAATAAGTAGAAATTATTGGCAATAAGTGTATATTTTATTTATTGCAATAAATTGAATTAAAGCCAAAATACTAACTAATTTGTTGTTATTGTAACGAGGAGGCGCTACGATTTATAACTAACATAAAATATATTTTTCCGCGTGTCTGACGGAAGCGTTTGAAATATTAACACGCACATGAAATAACAAATAATCTTTATTTGTTAAACAAATTTGAGAAACCTATGACTATAGATCCACCTCTGTTTTTGTTGTTTGAGAAACCTATGACTAAAAATATATATAGTATGTACATATATGAATGACTACTGTAAAATCCACTTCTGTTTTGGAAATGGTGATAATTTCTTTACTGTTGTTGTAGCGGTGATCTAGACCCTGTTTAGGTAGCAAGGCGCAAGTCTGTTGTCATCAAAATCATCTAATGGTCCAGGAAATATGGTGTTTCGTGGTCGGATCATAAGGCCTCTAGGGCTATGTGCACTTGCCCAAACGCAGCACTTAAAGTGATGCTGCAGTTCACACCGTTCCTTATAGTAATTAATCAGAAAGCGAAGTATATCATGCTGCTCATGGTGGTAGACGGGTATGAAAAAGGGAAGGTAATTTCGTCTCAACAAATGGCGGTCTTAGGTGCAGATACACCAATGGCTTTTCTTCTAAGAGACAGCGTTACAAAAAGGGTAAACTTCACCAAAAAATTTAAAGTTATTCTCGTCAGTAAGGTTAGCTTCAGCCTTTCTTGACCTTGATCTACTATTCAGAGGCAGCATAATTTAGTGGTACACTAACGGCTCGAAAACATCGAAAGTTATTGGTGCTAGTATTGTAGGACCGCACACTACAATTTTTTCGGAGCTTTTTTTAAGCAGAAGCTTTTGCTAAAAGTCAGTGGGCAGTACGCTATTCATGGAGAAGTTAATAGGAAGCTGGACAGCCTCTCAGTTGCAGTACATCTGATTAGGGTGCCACGGTATAAAGGCGTAGCCGAAAACGAGCTGGCCGACTGATTGGAACCCTATATTGTGGTGGAATGGAGGAGAAAGTGGGCAGACAATTCCCACGATAGCTGCCTCTACGCTACCGGAATTGACCAGAAGCATGTAAAGCTCGGCGACTGTTAGAAAATGACAATCATTGGGACGAAACTATGGAGGAAGCTGTACAATGCCGATAGTCAGATAAAATAAGGGAACTTTACGCTACGCTTTTATCTTCTTGCGGTCTTTCTAACCTGAAGATATTTAACATCAACTGCAGCAAGTACACACATATATTACTTTCAATGAACATATCTAAAATAAAAAGAGAATAATAAGCGAAAACAAGGTTTTTACGATGGTTGGAAAAAAATTAGATGATTTTGGCATGTCGAGCCATCGACGAGACAATATGGATAATTTTGATAATGAAATTGCACGTGAGCTAGATTATGATTTCATAGCACTTCCAGAGCAAAATAATGTTTTCAATAAAGTTTTACGTAAAATAGATTCCGGCAGTGGTGGACTCTTCTTGCTCGACGCACCAGAAGGAACTGGAAAAACGTTTTTGATTAAATAATAAAAAATAATAAAAAATAGCAGTTGCTTTAGCTTCATCAGGTATTGCCGCGACGCTATTTAGCGGCGGTCGTACGGCACATTCCGTTTTAAAATTACCATTGAATTTGGCACAGTAAGATTCGCCCATCTGTAATTTTAGTAAAAATAGTTCACGAGGTAGGATGCTGCGAGAATGCAAACTTTTAGTGTGGGATGAAAGTACCATGTCTCACAAGAAGCCTATAGAAGCTTTAAACTGGACTCTCCAGGACTTTCGAGATAATACAGATATAATGGGAGGCATGGTAGTTTTATTGGCTGGTGATTTCCGTCAAACCCTCTCAGAATTATTCCCACTGAACTTCCATTCAAACTTAGAAGGGTTCAGTTTCCCGTCAAGCTTAGCTTTGCTTTTACTATAAACAAGGCACTAGGACAAACATTACAGGTAGCAGGAGTTCATTTAGAAAATTCATGCTCTCTCATGGCAAACTTTATGTAGCCTGTTCACATGTATCTAATGCCCAGCATTTACACATATTTGGACACGACGAGAAAATTTATAATATTGTCTACAAAAATATCATAGATTAAAACTTTGTATTTTATTTTTTTAAATTGTTAGAATTCAGAGTTATAAATTTTTGTTACGGTGAAATATATTTTCATATTTGTTGTTGCAGTTCAATACGCATATTTTAAGGTGTTGAAACTTCAATGTCTGTAGTAATTTTTAAAAATTGTTGATCTCAGCCAAGCAATAAAATTTAGTTATCATTTTGATTTATTTCTATTACTCGTATTATACTCTTACCCTTGATCCCTCATACTTATTTAATGGCTCCACTGCGGGCGAAGCCGCGGGTAAAAAGCTAGTATAGTATATATGTATGTGTTTTTTAATTCGGAGTCCAAACTGGATAATCAGGTGTGTATGTGAAGAATGCTCTGAACAGTCTGGAATCGCGAGGCAATTTGCGCTCGTCGCAAAATTGGTCAATACAAGAAATAAACGTCTCGAGATCGTTCAGTTTGCATGGCCGCTATATGCTTTACTGGTCCGATATCAGCGGTTCGAATAAGCAAAATCTTGAGAAGAAAATGACGGCTTAGTTCGCGTTTATAAGGACAGACATTGCTATTGCTATTTCCACTCAGTTCGTCATGCTAATCATTTACTTATGCATAACTGCATATATTTTCTATATTCTATTTGTTACAAAATAACCTTGTTCTAGGTATAAACAGCTTATCAAAAATATATTTTAAATTATTTAAATTTAACGATTAAAACGTCGATTATATGCGACCTGTAGTATAGCCGCAACAGTTTCCAAATTGGCAGCTAACTTGCAGTGGAGCCCCAAAGAGAGTAACAAGTACACAATGTCGTTTTCCACAAACGCTGAGAGAATATGGAGCAAAAATCACAAACACATAGGGAATATGAAAATAGTACCCGCTTCCGACTACTCACTCGCTGCTTCAAGCGATTTGCAGATGATAAGCGCAAACTGCGCAATGCTTTACAAATAACAACAGCAGCAAATACAAATTGTTGGCGCTCACACCGTGGACTCCATGCCCACAGCATAAGCCACCACAAACAACAGCAGCGTTGACGCTCACTTACATATTGGAGCAACAGCAACAATACTATACATACCTCTAATAAGAGCACACGAAATTGCTGTGGAAAATCCGAAAATGTTCGACGTGCGCACAGTAACGAGCGCTTTATGTGGCGACTGGACGAGTTTAACGGCAAATGAAAACGAAAAATTGACAGTTACGCCTGAAAAGCGAAACGCGAAACACGTCTGCTCAACGAAACGGAAATAATCGCAGTGCAATAATAAAATTTGTTGAGAAATTGTGATTTTTTGCTGTTACATATTAACCGTTAAGTGTGCGAAAACTTTGTAAATTGAAAACGAAAATAATTGTTGGTGTTTAAAGAAAGCTGTCTTGAGTTGAAGTGACGTACGTGCCAACAACAAAATTGTAAGTGCGCTGTGTTGTTGCCAAAAATATGCTTGCTTGTAAATAGTTACATATATATGTATGTATGTGCGTATACATACTTATGTATGTACTCGTATGTAAGTCAAAGTGGGTGTGCAAGTGTCATTATCCTTACAACAATAACTGCAGTTGAAAAGGCGAGAAGCAACAAAAAACGCAAGTGCTTGTGTACGCACTTATAAGCCCATACATAAGTGTCATTAAAAGTTGAAAAAAATAACATAGAATACGAACAACAATTTTATAAAAAACTACGCAGCTGCAATATTTTGCTACTTTTCTCTTTTGTAACATGCGTTGTTGGGTTTAAAGTGCGAAATTCTACTTGTGGCATACATATATATCAGGCATAAATTAAAGCTTACGTGCATACACAATACATATACTATTTATGTTTATACTTAGGTGTCATATTTTCTCTCTAAATATGGGATTTAAGTTTTTGTTTTTTATTAATTATTATTAATTTTTAAAAATATTTATATTTTCAATTATATGCAGTTACGGACAATAATGTATATACGTAGCATTAATTTTCCGTTCTAAAAAATTTTTTCAATATTTTTTCTTCACAAAAAGAATTTTAATTCACTTTTAAAAATATTTATATTTTCAATTATATGCAGTTACGGACAATAAAAGAGAATCATACGTAGCACTAATTTTCCGTTCTAAAAAATTTTT